TAGACAAGAGAAGAGGGTGAAAATGTCCCTCAGGCATTCTGTCGAACACCTTGTGTGCATTTGTTGAACGCATCTCGTTTATGCAGTAGGTGATCTGATGAGGCATTTGAACAAACATGTTGCGGGCGTGCAGTGAAGCAATGATGTTGCACTGACTGCAATGGGGAAGTGGTAGTTTTGCGATGGGTGACGAAAAGTTGGGCATGATGGTTGAGGGCTGAGCAAGAGTTGGGGGTGGGTGCCATGGGGTCTTGATAGTTAGTTGGGCGTAAACGAAGGTTGTGGGGAAGAGTGATGACTGCCAGTGGATCTCATTGAGCGGTGGCCAAAGGTGGAGAATGGCGCGAGGTTGGGGCTAAAGGCCACTCAACAGGGCTGCAATGAGGCTGCGAGGCTGCAACAGTGGGTTCTCGAGCTACGTTAGGGTGCGCAATTAGGCACTGAGAGAGTGGTGCTGCTGCAATGGTCGTAGCAGGGAGATGATGATGGGGGCGGCCATGAAAACCACGCATTTGGGGATGATCTCGTGCGAGAGTTTGGGGGAGAGCCAATCTCGTGCAGGCCCCACCTCCACTTGAATTTCTCGTGAGTGGAGGTGAGGCTGACAGCGGTTTGCAACAGATCTAAAGTCAGGATTTGGAGGCGTGAAGGTATGAAGGGTGAGGTTTGATTTGGGTTGTTGACTAGTTGATATTGTAAGGCGGTGGGTTTTGTCCAGGGAGGGAAGCGGTCGATGGTCAATTGGTGGAAGAGGAATGGAGTTTGGGGGTTTGGGACATGGTGCAACGGAGATGGGGTTGCTTTTGAGCCGCTGAGGTTTGCGGTGGAGGCATTGCTAAGATTTTATGAGGCGAGGGGTTGCAGCGGCAAAGCATTGGGAGGAGGAGTTGCTGTTGGAGGAAGGCTTGGCAGTGGTGTTGCTGGAAGTCGAAGCCGCCAAGGGGAAGAGCATAGCGAAGCGAAACCCCCTCGACGGCTTCAAGTTCGAGGAAGAAGGAAGAACTCTCTCCCGGACAAATAAGAAAGCTTGACACCATGATAAGTACAGAGATATTTGTGAGAAATTGATTTATTATTCATTCTGTTAAGGTATTTAATTACAAGAGAAAGTATAGAGGTCCTAATAACCTAAGCAATGTAGGACTAAAATAAAGCAAGATAAGATAAACTAACTACATTATTTAATAGATTTTTTTTTACATTGCGGTTACAAATTAGCCTATCTAAGTTGATTTGATACCACCAATGAGTGGCCCAGGTAGTTTGGATGTACCAATATGAACCCGGAGTGCCTCAGTTCGATTCCTGGGCCCGCATTTATCTGGTGTTGTGTGGGATTAAAGGTGGGCCTCGACTCCCGGGGTTTACTTACTTAGGCGGAGGTTGT